TTTTTTTGACTACCCCAGGCTGGAGTGCAGGCTGGTGTGATCTCAGCTCACTGCAATCTCCACGTCCTGGGTTCCAGTGGTTCTCATGCCTCAGCCACCCAAGTAGTTGAGATGACAGGCATGTGCCACCACACCCAGATAATTTTTGTATTTTTAGTAAAGATGGATGTGAAAGGAAAATAAATCTTGGGGCCTCGAAATCACTAAGCTAAAGGGAAAAGTCAATCTGGGGAACTGCTTAGGGCAAACTTGCCTCCCAATTTATTTAATATTCAAAGTGATTCCTCTGCTCACTGAGATAAATGCATATCTTACTGCCTCCTTTGGAAAGGCTAATAAGAAACTCAAAAGAATGAAACTGTTTGTCTCTCACCTCCCTGTGACCTGGAAGCCTCCTCCCTGCTTGAGTTGTCCCATGTTTCTAGATGGAATCAATGTACATCTTATATATATTGGTTGATATCTCCTATCTCCCTAAAATGTATAAAACCAAGCTGTGCCCAACCACCTTGGGCACATGTCATCAGGAACTTCTGAGGCTATATTATGGGTGCATATCCTCAATCTTGGCAAAATAAACTTTCTAAATTAACTGAGACCTGTCTCAGATATTTGGGGTTCACATCTTGACAACCACAGAGATTCTGAGGGGAGGTGCCCCTTGACAAGTATCCTATCAGTACTTGGTAGCAGCTTGAGCTATCTTTTTGGCTCAAACCAATAGGACAATTTGCTGAGGCCGGGAAGCATCACCTCCAGAGAATCCCTGATCTCCCACAATCTAAACTTTATTTTGCTGTACAATTCCTTTTTTGGGGGCCAAGGGTCGGGGTGGGGACGGGAAGTGTATTTGCTTCCAACACAGGGAAGGCAAGTTTTTCCTGTTTCCATGACAATGGAAGGCACGTTACTCCTTTATGGAGTTTGAGCTCGCTTCCAACAGGGAAGATGAATTTGAGTTTTTTTCGTGCTTCTAGGATGGTAGAATGCAGCCTTTAGCCTGAGACCCATCGCTAGGTCAGTAACTGAATTGGAGTTTGTCTTAGCTAAGGTTAAGATTAACAACCAGCAGGTGTTAATTTCTCCTTACCATTAGAGCACTCAGTGATCATATAAGTTGTGCCATCATTTGTTTTGCCTAACCGTTTTTTTGTTGCTGGTGGTGTGTGTTTCTGTTTTTGTTGTTGTTTCTTTTTCCCATTGGGTTTGATCAACTCTATTTAACTTGATCAAATCTGAAGGAAAGTTCCAAATTATGAGGAACAAGGCCTCTGAAGTGGCTAAAGTCCATGTCCCCAGCCCCCCTCCCCCACACAAAGGTGGTGTGGTAGGGGGAGAAAAACCAGCAAAAGTGGGGAAAAAAGGAAAAATTTTTGTTTTGACTTCTTAAGGGGCTTTATTTACATAACAAGGCCACGTTTTTGTTAGCCAGGCCAAACTGAAAGAGCAATGTATTTTGCCCCACGCTAAAGTTCCATAGCTAAGAGTTCTGTCTTCTTTTTTCCCACCATGAAAACTTGGGTTTGGATCTTAAATCAAACCCTTGCAAGTTTGATACTTGGTATTTCTTTTTCTTTTTTCAAAGCTACTGCAAATCAAGATACTTGGTATTTCTTAAATATTAATAGCAGCAATTTGCCCTAGCTGAAATATGGTAATGAGATTTTAAAATATTTTTTAAAGGAGCTCAGTGGTAAAAAGTCAGCTTGATTAAAAGCTAACATTGAAGATGTGTGTGTATATGTGTGCATGTGTGTGTTTGTATTTAAAAGGTCTTCATGTTTTGTTTTTTTTTTTCTTCTAGGACCTTGTCTTTTTTTCTTTTCTGAGCAAAAGTTTTTCTTAGTTGATTGAATTCTGTTTTCTTCATTTACTTCTGCTGTCTCTCCTTTCTCTTCAACCCCCTGCTGCATGGGGGACCCAAAATAACTTATAATAGCCTGAAGTTCCTTAAAGAAAATGGAGAAAGTGCCAGACTCCCTTTGAGGGAGAAACCTGTTTTTCCTTATGAAACTCCAGGAGTGTAAACAGACAGGTTTATCTCAGCTCTTAAGCTGCTTGCTTTTGTATTGTGTTACCTGATTTATGACTAAAATAGTTATTGCAACAGAGACTACTCTTGGATTTTTAAGGAAGAGTATAATTTAGACACTTAGAAATGTCTTTTTTTGTTTGTTTGTTTGTTTTTGTGTTTTTTGAGACGGAGTTTCA